TGAAGAGCAGCAGCTTCCGCAAACATTTTCAATGCATCTCACAAACTTTAAGAAGCTTTCATTAATGGGAGTGCTGGCTGTAGCTTAAAGGAAACCTGCACCGAGAGAAATACAGAGGCTGACATTCTTCTGAAGATCCTTAAGCTGGCCATACACCTATACATGTTCTGCAGATGTTCTATGGTCAGATGGAAAAAGTGCAACAGATTTCTCCATCTACGCTAAACTGTGTGCATGGAGGAATCTCCCGCTGGGCCAAGCTTCAGGATCTTCCTAGTCGGCCTCGCTAGCTGCCAATGCCGGCATCCAATCACATTGTTCAGGTGTTTTGAGATCCAGTGGGGCCGACTAGCAAGATACTGAAGCTTAGCCCAGTGGGAGATTCCTCCATCCATACAGTGTAGCGTAGATGGAGGAATCTGTCCATAGAAAATCTGCAGACAATCTATATGTGTATGGTAGGGTTGCCACCAGTCCAGGATTCACCCGGACAGTTCGGGTTTTGAATGCTGTGTTCGGGTTTCATGGCAGCAGTGTCAGGCAGACAGGGGCAACCAGAATTAGGATAGGGGCTACTGGCCCCCCACTGAAAATAGTCTCAACTGTGATATTTACATATGAATGGGAGGGGCTATTTACATATAAATAAACCGCAACTCATTCTCCCAAAAAAATGTCCGCGCATCGCTAGAGTGTGTTCGGGTTTCGCTTGAAGAAAAGGTGGCAACACTAGTGTATGGCCAGCTTAACTCCCGGGCTGTCCCTGGCTTCACTTCATTCAAACACACTAAAATAAGAATCAGAAACTAAAAATCAGAAAAGTCATCAGCCAGGACATTAGTATTTGCAGAATGGGAGATCTCCGGTGACGGCCTCCATACTTCTCTATCAAGCAGTGCCATGACATCAGCCCTTGTCCTGCTCTCTGTTATAATAATCTCCTGCAATCATATATGTGAATGTCATTAAACAGTTCATGACATTTGTAGCCCTTTAAAAAGATCTGTCTTTTCAGAGCCTCCAAATTCCGGAGGTTCTACATTAAAAACAGCCACGGCCAGACCTCCATCGACGCCAGTCAATAAACGGTGATTATAGAGAACAGTACACAAAAGGACAGACCCCAAAAACACAAAACTTACACACTTGTAGGAAGAACACAGACACTACAACACGGAGGCCACAATATTATTTGCCCTCAAGACCCAAAAAGCATTATTGAAGAAACAAAAATGGACAAAGTTGCAACTTTCAGAAGTAAGATTTGTTAGTTTCTATGGGATTGAATAGAAGAATCAGGACAGTGCTTGTCTACAAAACATGATACAGTCCGTGTACCCATCGCACTCAAAAGGGTGGAAGGTGGGTGCAACAGGCGTCAGCGGGTGGCTTCCGACAAAATATCAGTAAAGGACGGACACCGGCACTCCAAAACAAGTTCAGTACGTGTTTATTAACGTAATAGTTGCAAGTAGAAGACTCTAAACAACGTATCGGGGTCTCACAGGATCCCCTTCATCAAGCAAACAAGTGGTTTGTCTGATGAAGGGGATCCTGTGAGACCCCCGAGACGTTGTTTAGAGTCTTCTACTTGCAACTAGTACGTTAATAAACACGTACTGAACTTGCTTCGGAGTGCCGGTGTCCATCCTTTACTGTCTACAAAACATGTCACATGGGGAAGTACTTTGAACATTATGGTAAAGGGACTCTATAATCATTATTATAAACCTGCTTTTTTTGTAGTATAAAAGGTAACAGAGTAAAAAAAACACACGGGGTTGTAATTATAAACCGTTCATAGAGCTATTCTATTAGCGTATTTCTTTTCAGGTTGAATGTAATATCAGGAAAATGCCACATTATTTATCATTACCGGTATTTATATAGTGCTGACAATTTACACAGCGCTTCACATAGTACACATTCACATCAGTCCCTGACTTCGAGGAGCTTACAATCTAAGGTCCCTATCTCACATACGAGGGCCAATTTAGACAAGAGCCAATTAACCTTCCAGCATGTCTTTGCAGTGTGGGAGGAAACGGGAGTACCCGGAGGGAACCCACACAAGCACAGGGAGAACATGCAAATTCCTTGCAGATAATGACCCGGCCAGGATTCAAACCAAGGACCTGAAGCGCTAACCACTACGCCACTGTGCTGCCCCATCATTATGGCCACTAGATGGATCTAAAGAGCATAGGAAATAATAATTTACCTGATAATAACATTCGTCTCCATGCACACAGAACAAATGTACATGTAATTTTGCAGGGCGAATGCCTCTGCGAAATGTTTAGAAATACACCCCGTGGTGTGATGCCAGATCTTAAGATCCATGTGATCAACTCAAGCACATTTGCTTTTGCTACAGGCCAAACAAACTTAAAACAATAGAACTTAAAATAGTTACTGCGCGAGTTCATGTAAAATGCTTCTTAGGTCAAATGTCTTCCCCTGTAAATATAACTGCCTAATGCTACTTGGAAAATGTAAATTAATCTATTCTTACTCTATTTATGTGTTGAAAGGTGGGCAGAGCTGTGATATGAATACTTTAGGTGATGGAAGATTGCATTCCAAAAATTAGAGGAGGAAGAAGTACAAAAAACACACACACATATATATATATATATATATACACATATCTATCTATCTGAGCACAAAGAAGGAAAACCGTGAACATGGACACCACAATCCGCATATCTCCAAAAACGTTAACTTAATTGCAACTTTATTAACCAATACATATACATCCACACACACCCCATTAGGCCTTGTTCACATGGGTGGCCGACGCATGATAATGGGGGTCAACTGCCTGTTTTGTTTTTTTACCTTCCCCGACTGCCCACCTAAAACCTAATGTAGTGGCTGCTCATTCCTGTACACACGCAGCAGCAAATTTGAAAAGCATGTCCTTTTTGGCAGGCGCTGCCCCTTGCTAAATGTGACTTTTGCAATCAATGGGAGAGCATCAACTATATAAGAAACAAAATCCTAATTGGGATTGAAACGAAATCCCACCTCATTCTAGAGTCAGCAGTATCGCCTGCTAAACACCAGGCGGCCTCTGATCTACCATTGTCAGAGAAGTGATCCCCCACAATCGCTTTTCAGAGGGGCGGTGGAATCTGCCGCCTGTATGAACAATGCCATACTAACTGCCGGGCTTGAGTGGGTGAAGGGAGGTTTCTTTTAAGCTTGGGTCAGTTGTCAGTGTTCTAGGGGTAGGTGAGGATGTACATGTTTTGGTAATGCAATTTGCAAATTATTGTAATAAAGTTTATTTTATTGGAGATATGTGGACTGTGTTGTCCCAATAGTCTTACTGTACCCCGCCTTCTGCCCATGGCGCCGAGGTGAGGGCGACGTTACGTTCCTTCCAGGGAGAACCTGGAGAATGCAGAGCAGCCCATATATCCCTAAGGTCTTGTTCACACCAAATGCAGAGCAGATCTGCATGAGTTTCTGCACACGCAGTGCAGTGGGTTGTGCCGCGTTTTTGATGCGTTACGGGCCGTTTTTGGTAAAAAAAAACCAAAAAATTTAAATGGGCTTTCAGTGCGTTCCAGAGCATTTGCATACATCTTTGATGCGTTTCATGCATTCCAGAACAGGTAAAATAGGGCCTGCTGCAATTTTTCTTACCTACTCTGGACCTGAATGCTGCGATGTGAACTGGAGCTAAAAATACCATTGAAATACATTGGACGCAGTTTTGCTCCGGTCTGCACCTGCTCCGCGCTTGGTGGGAACAAGGCCTAAAAGACACATTACACTGGACCGGGGCGTCCTCTCCCAAGATTTGGAATACTCATCATTCCCCAGGAAGCTTGTCGGAAGGGTAGTGACACCCCACCCTGCAATGTGGAAGACTGGAAGAAGGAATAGAAGTATATAATCTAACGTTTTCTTTCTTTTTCTTTCCAGTTACATTTTTCACGTACTATTGGGCAGTGATGTATTCAGGGGGAACGGACCTGGACCTAAGAAGCAGACATCGAATTTCAGAGCAACGTTCACTTTAAAATGTAGTCATTGCAATACCAGTACAATCAGTGTGTGGTCTGCTAATGCGTTCCACAACACACAGAGGAACTCACACCAGAACTTTCCTATGTTTTATATCATTTCTTAGCATTCAGGTTCCTGTTAAATGTTCTGTTTAAACTCTTTCTTATGACAAAATGTATGTGACGAAAATTACAGGGAGCTCATAGACAGAGGGTGTGCTGGAACCAAAGAACCCTTGTCCTGCATTTTTATAGACTTCCCCAAAAGATTATTCAGATGAGACTACTGGCCCAGGGATTTAACAAGAGTGACAGCCGGTCATAAAAGATAATTGGCGAAAATCCGCATCCCCAAGTCATTTTATATGGAAAAAAATATTCATATTGGATTAGGTAGTAAGAGCATTTAGAGAAGAAGTCCGGGCAGAATTTGTCTTAAAGGAGAACTATGGGGTTAGGGCTTTTCCCCATAGTTCTCCTTTAACCCTTGCCCCCGGGTGATCCTAGGAGCCGGCTTGCTGTTAGACTGCTCCCTGGAGCTTCTCTCCCCCTCCCCGCTCACATTCTATAGATGCAAGGATGCTGAGGAACATTCCAATTCTGCAGAATAGGAGGAGAGAGGTTTCAGTGACCAGAGAAGCAGGCTCAGCAGTTCGGATGAGCACCTAGACAAAAACAAACATTTAACCCTTGCAGTGCAGAGGTAGCCCCACTGCAAGGGTTAAGAAAAATGATGTCTGCAGTTCTTCAATTTCCTTTTTTCATCCAATTGTGTCCCCTTATAAAAGGAAATTGAGGTTGCACTCCATGGACATGACCTGCAGAGGGCAGTAGTCATCTACAGTCTGAGGGACATAAGAGACGAGGACGGACACCGGCTTCTGTACAATGACATGACAGACATAAAAGGAATCATTTCAACACAGCACAGGAAATGCAACTTCATGCGGAACATCAGATAAAATTGCATCACTGAAAAGGGTTATGAAGTGTTTCAGTCAAAAAGGTCAGCAGTAGAGATAAAATATTTATAAAAGTACTTTCCTGAACAATGCCGTCATAACATTATTGTCATTATTTATCACAAATAGATCGTTTTAGTTTAGGTAGAAATGATATTTGATGTTAACAGCTCTTCCCGTGCTTCCTGAAGGCGATTCTTCATTGTATCAGTTTGTACGGAGCTGGTAGTCTGCGGGGAGAATGAAATCATATTAAATATAAATCACGCGTTATCAACATTCACCGCTCCCGAACTCAACTGTCTGGTTATTCAGAGTGAATATGGAAACATTCACAATGGTGCTCAAACCTTTTACTTCCAAAATACTACAGTGACATATCAGGGTCCAAGCCACAGACAGAAAATATGATCACCGTTCACCTATCACTCCTCCTAATATTAAATATTAAAGCCGAACTCTGGGCAACTCAAACCTTAAAGTGACCTTAAAGTCTAGATGGGAGCCACAGGTGCTGCATACAGTCGCCCATAGAAATCAATAGCTGTAGGTATACATCAGTACTGATGTACGTCCATATGCATGTGCTTACGTAGGTACCAGTGTATACCCGTGTACAGCTGCATACAGCCATAGATTTTAATGGGGGTTGTATGCAGCACCTGTGTCTCCCGGGAAGGGGATTACACTTGGATTTTACATTGTGCAGCCCCAGGCACCTTTATAGTGAAAAGGGTACACCAGGGGGGTCCTAGGGCTAATGCCAATTATACACTTGGGTATAATCCCAACTTTAACCTCATCTCATCAGATGCTTCTTCACAGTGCAGTCCATCCCGGTTGCATAAAACCCCCACACCACTGCCTCCCTGCTATGTGCCTCTAAACCTCTCATTCAAATGAGAACAAATAAACCGTCATTCAAATGCCATTTAACTTTTGGGCCTAGCATCACTCAGCCCTTTCTGGCCAGCCAGACCATCAGGTACAGCAAATCATGCTCGCGGTGGAATGAGTGGGCATGACAGCAGGATGTAGTTCTACTCCATGCACCGAGTAATACCCACAATAAAGGTGATTGGTGCCACCACTACATTTCCAGCCCCTACTACCAAGGAAGGTGCAATGCCTTTTCGGGGCACAAATTCCCTCAGCAGTGGTGCAAATCTAATGCCTCCCAAAGGCTGATTCTGATGGAAGAAGGAGAAATGTCAGTGGTGTGTCCGTCCCAAGATATCAAGCCAAGTATTTAAACCCTGCCGCTGGCAAGAGCCAGCCCTTTAAGTAGGCTGTGACACAGGAGGCCAGTAGGAGGGGCACCAGTTAGTTCGATCAATGTGATTGGCTCCACACTGATGATGTAACCGGGAGACTGTCCTACCATCTAGGGGCGTTACCTAGGGTTGTCTGCAAGCAAATTCAGCCCGCCTAGGAACGCCCAATTCTCCAGACTGACACCCATCCATCAAGGTATTTTGATATTTGCATAACTCCTCCCAAGAGCCAGCCCACTGTTTGCATCGGGGTTCTTAAAGTGAACTTTTACATTGCAGTATTGAATTTGTAAAAAATAAAAAAATTAACATTCCCATAACCATTAATAAATCAGGAAAACAGACTCATTAAGAAAGCTGTTTCTTCGTTTTTTTAATACATTTATCTTTAAAATATGACGCTGCAATGCCGGGGGCGGCCATGTTTGCTGTGGGGAAAGCCACTTTCTTTTTTTTCTTGAATGAGATCTCATTTCAATGACAAAGCAATCCCAAAATGCATTGCGTTGGCAAACTGAACTACTTTGCACCTGGAAAGCAGGAAGTGAATGCTCTGCAAGTATTTCAATATAACAGCATTTTACAGCCGTGTTATTATTAATCATCATAGATAGAGGAAGGCGTTGGTGGGATTTGAGTGTAAAGGTCCAATCAAGAGGAGTACTTAGGTAGGGTGCTGTGATCCTTACAGAAAGCTATGCACAGAACCCAGCCGGCCCCTCTCACCAGCCATGATCTGCCTGCACTGCATACAGAAGCACAAAGACCCAGTGATGACGTCACTAGCTCAAATTTAGGGTATGTAATGAAAACGTAAAGGTTTTATGAAAAAATGTAATTAGCATGTTTATGAGGGGGGGGGGGGGGGGGGGAAAACACCCCCCCCCTGCTTTTTTTTCAGGTGAAATCAGG